ATAATTTACAGGATATTGCAAATGCTTTTAATGAACATTTTGCGCAAATTCCAAGAAAATTATTAAACAATCTTTCATTTACTACTTCTGAATCAGAAAACTTGAACAAAAATACACTAAGGCAAAACTTAGAGACCAAGGCTTTTTTGAAATTCCTTTGATTAATGAAGAAAAAGTATTTAATATGTTAAAGAGGCTAAATGTAAACAAATCTGCTGGCATAGATTTTCTTGGACCTAGATTACTTAAACTTTCAGCTTGTATAATATCCAAACCTCTAACACATCTACTAAATTCTAGCATAATCAAGGGGTCTTTTCCTTCACAGTTAAAAGTCGCACAAGTAACTCCTCTATTTTAAAAGGGTGATAAATCAGACCCAGGAAACTATCGCCCAATCTCAATCTTACCAAGTATATCGAAAGTTTTAGAAAAGCATGTAGCAGAAAATATACGCATCTTTACTTCTCACTTTGATTTATTAATGAAAGCACAATCAGAATTTAGAGAATTTCACTCATGTCAGTCAGCTCTCACAAAACTAACTAATAATTGGCTGTATGCAATAGATCAAGGAAATTTTGTTTAAATTACTTATTTGGATTTTAGCAAAGCATTCGATCTTGTTAATCATGATATGTTAATTAGAAATCTTCAATGCTGTCACTTTCATCCAATATCAGTTAAATGATTTCAATCATACTTGTATGATCGAACTCAAAGTGTAAAAATAGGTGCATACACATCTGAACCACTGTCAGTCACAGCAGGCATGCCACAAGGGTCTATATTAGGCCCTGTATTATTTTTATTATACATTAATGTTATACCATTGTCTGTTGAACATTGTAATATTGATATTTTTGCTAATGACACTACAATGCATTTTCATGGTTACAATATTTCACGTTTTGAAACAACTCTTAATCATGACCTGTACCAAATACAAAACTGGTGTCAACAAAATCAGATGCTTTTGAATACTAAAAAACAGTGTATGTTAATGGGAACACAACAAAAGAAATCAAAATTAGAAAACATTAGTCTTCATTTACAACTTTCCGATCATCCCCTTGAAAACGTGGAAATGCAGAAATTATTAGGTGTTCACATTGATCAAACTCTTCAGTATACTTGTCATGTAGATGCAGTTTGCAAAACTCTTACATATAAATTATTTACTTTAAGAAAAATTAAAAAGTTTCCTCCACTGCATACTACAAAACTATTTTATAACGCTTTTATTTTACCATCAATTTTATATTGTCTATCCATTTGGGGTAACTCTCCTCAAACTCACATCAATAGAATATACAGACTTCAAGAACGATCAGCAAGGATTGTCCTGAAAAATATGATTCACCTTCAATGTCTTTATTTAACATTTTAGGCTGGTTAACGTATCATGAACTTCTATATTTACAGAAAAGCATTTTTATGTGCAAAACATTTCATGGTATGTCTCCCGATTACATGAATAGCTTTTTGAATTACAAAGTTCCGGATCATACATGTTACGCTCAGAAACAAATTCCGAACTTCGTTTACCAAAATATAAAAAAAAAAAATTATTTAAAAATTCTTTTCAATATTCAGGGGTTATAATCTGGAATGAGTTAACTATTCGTATAAGGAAATCCAAATCCCTTCCAATTTTTAAAAAAAAAAAGTGTTGAAAAATCTTTACTTACGAAACGTACTAGTTCTACATGAAAATGTGTTACGTTTTTTCTATCTCCCTCTTTTCTTTCCATATTAACTAAGCTTTGATGTTTTTTTTTATTTATTCTGTTGTAACATAGTTTTTATATTTTATTATCTCATAATTGTGATTTTTGTTTATTGTATATATACATTGTATATGTGTTATAAAGAAGGCCCCGAGGAAGACTAGTGCTTGCACTAATTGGGCTACCTTCAATAAATAATGTATTATTATCATTATTATTATTATTATTATTATTATTATTATTAATTAATTAATTAATTAATAAATAATAATAATAATAATAATATATGATGATTACAACCTTAGGGGTATGTTTACCTGTCTGCAAAGAGTCAGTTGAGGGTCCACAGTGAGTAGTTTTCAAGTATTATTTAATTCGTTTCTGCATACTCAAAGTATGAAGACAGTCATGTTTTTTCTAAAAGATTTAAGTCAGGATCTTACATGTTCTTGTGCAATAGGAGTCCCGCGTGAAATTTGAAACAAATCCTGAGAAAAGACTTTGGGCTGTGTTTATTTATAATTAGATGTTTATCAAATACAAGACTGTGAGTAACTTATTTTTTACATTTCTGGGGGGATAACATTCTAGGTGCAGTACACAGGATGAAAAGCCAGCATTCCCAAATTTGGAAACCCGATGGAAACCTTATGGGAATCGTGACATAAGTAGTTTCCATATAGTTTCCATTTTATGGAAACCACATAGTGGTTTCCACGTAGATTCCCGATATGGAAACAATCAACCTGTGGTTTCCCATAAGTTTCCCAATATGGAAAACCGTGGAAACATGCAGTAGTGGTTTTCACGTAGATTCCCGATATAGAAACAATCAACCTGATGTAAACATCAAAAACTTTCAGGACCAAGTACTCATTGTAGGGGTCAAAGAATACTTTCGCAATGAAAAGGTTGAAGAGAAAGTTTCATGACTCTATCTTTAACCATCTTAGAGTAGAGACCGGACAAAATTTCAATATAAATAAAGAAAATCGGGAAACTCGCGACCGGAAGTGACATCATCAAAATAAAAAAAAAATGCCTTACGTTCATGTTTCATGAAAATTCATCCATGCATTTACGAGAAATCGCGTGCACAATGTCGGTAAGAATAATAATAATAAAAAAGTTGAAAAGAAACAACAAAATAATAAGAAGGTCTTCCGTTGAGACGAAAGACCTTAATAATAATAATAATAATAATAATTAAAGCAAAACTCGTTGCAAAGCAACGAGTAGGTCTTCCGTCCGATTTAAGATGTTGACTGTGATAGATTCACTCAAAAAAAGAAGAAGGAAGAACAAGTTTTGAATAAAATTCAAAATTAAGTTTTGATGTATTCAAAATATGTTTAGAAACACATGAAAGAGTAATGTCTTTTAATTTAAACCCATTTCCGGTTCTTTTAAATTTACTTCCGGTATGACACGAAGTGCTCAAAAGGATTTAAAACTCCAAAATGAGTGTGTACAAATCTTTCCTGAAAGTTTGGTTGAAAAATACTCATTTTTGGGCAACTTCCGGTTCAGAAGTACAACTTCCGGTGGAAATGAAATGACTTGAAACACTGTGTATAGCAATGTTATAAAAATTTTAAAATGAAAAAAAAAATAAAAATTGCATATTTTAAAACTACTTCCGGTGGACAAAGGAAGTGACGCCAGAAAAAAAACAAAACAACGGAGACAAATTCACAGATCATGATCTATTATCCCAGAAAGTTTCATGACTCTATCTTTAACCATTTTAGAGGAAAGACCCGGACAAAATTTTAATATAAATAAAGAAAATCAAGAATAACTCGCGACCGGAAGTGACATCACCAAAATAAAAAAAAAATGCCTTAAGTTCATGTAATTTGCTATCATTGCTGAAAGTTTCATGAAAATCCATCCATGCATTTACGAGAAATCGCGTGCACAAAATCGGTAAGAATAACAATAATAAAAAAAAGTTGAAAAGAAACAACACAATAATAAGAAGGTCTTCCCTTGAGACGGAAGACCTTAATAATAATAATAATAATAATAATTAAAGCAAGGCTCGTTGCAAAGCAATATATATATATATATATATATATATATATATATATATATATATATATATATATATATATATATATATATATATATATATATATATATATATATATATATATTGCTCAGTAAAGAGTCATGCTCAAATCCCCATAAGAGTTGAGATTTGTAACGATTTAGGGGCAAGTTTGCATTTGAAATATACATTTCTGTTAGTCTGGTCTTGGTCCTTTATAACTTTTCTGAAGATCTGATCATGCAAATACATTGTCAGAGATTTGTTTGCTACTACAAATGATTCACTTGTAATGAATTTATGTGATGTGTAATTGCATATAAACCAATGCACGGTATTAAACGCTATAGTATATGCACCAAAAGTCATGTAAGGAAATAATGGAAAATAATCAATTCCTAAAAAGAAATGCAAATCATTGCAAATCTCCGTATATTCTACAGCTTCTAGATTTGCACTGCAGATAATGAGTTTTTCCTGCTTTAAAGCATATCTGATTGATTTAGAAAGAAATATGCAGCTTATTCCGTGTTCATAAGAACATACAATCTGTTAAAAAGTCTTAGTCGGGAGCATTCGTTGAACTTCCCTTTCAACATGTTATTATGGGGGATGAAAAAATTTGGGACATTACCTTTGTATACGCATTGTATAATATTCTTAAAACACATCCAAACACAGGAAAGAAGGTTTTCGGTGACCAATCTAAAGGGTTTTCTTGCACTCGCCAGAAAATCATAGTTTTAACAAAGAGCAGAAAGAGGGTTCACCATCTTCAGTTACAACCTCCTTAAAAAAAATAGCTTTAATAAGCCGTATGTTAGAAATTGACAATGGTTAAAAGATTTTATCAAGATATTTTCTGCTTTTGAAAATGATATTCTCAAAAACTCTCAAAAATTGCCTTTTAAAGAAGATGCGATGTCAAGTTCTGTTCAACGAAAGAAAGAATAAGACAGGGTCCATGCAAATGCAAATGCAATAAATTTGTCATCATGTATTGTAAACTTTCGTAAACCACAAAGTTGAGGACATCCAAATAACATTTCCTTCAATGGATATGGATGGAAATAAAATGCCATATGTTTTCATAAAAATCTAAACTCGTGGAGATATGTTGTCGAAGTCAGTTATATAATTATCAACAGAACTATACACTAATTTCAAATAAACAAATCCTGGATGACACGTTACACATTTCAGGTATACTTTTATTGTCAAGCAATTGTTTGAGCAGGAAGATAATGCTCCCTTGGCCCATTTTCTGGAAGCACTACCATATTATCATTCCGAAACATAACATCAATTTCAGATCCTGGCAAACGAAAACCATCTTTCCTGCTCCCATTTAAAGACCAGTGAAAAGACGTTTCGCCAAAGAAAGGGTCTCTTACACACCCAGGAACTGTTGTTATTTCTTCAATATCCATGGCAATTCGTCTTGTTCGTACCTCCCTGTCATTGCCAATAATATTACACAGGCCCTTTAACACGGATCCAGAAAGAATGGATAATGATGCCATTTTCCTGCAATTAGAATAAATCCTACACCTTCATCTGGATTATTCATTTTTTTAATCCATATTTTCTAACTAACGATAAACAGTATACCGAGCAATTATTTTGTAATTTAACATCTTAAAGTTAGCAAATTAATTTCTTTGTTTTCAATTGCTTAGATTTAACTTTACCGAAAAAAAAAAAAAAAAAAAAAAAAAAAAAGTTTACAGTAAATGACTGTGGTAGAACACTGCATATTTTAATGTATTTCTAAGACAGCTGACATGACAATGTTCAGGGTGAATATATTGATCCGAACTGATAAAAAACTCTGCTTTTCGCCTGTATTTATATATTTTTGTTAATTGTTTTAAATAACATTTATATCATACCCTGGTAAGCATGCATTGTATAAATAGTTACTGCAGAACTGTATATCTGATTAAAAAATATATTGACAGACAGGAGAGCTTTGGTGCAATCCATGTAAAAAAAAAACTGTATACATTAAAATACGCTAATGCATGTACATGTTACGAAGTTCCCGGGACGGACGAATTCGCTTCGTTATAAACGTAATTCATTATATCCATTAAGTTCACAATGTATTTTAAAGCCTTGTGGAGTTGAATTCACTTCGTTGTAAGTGTCAATTCATTATAAGCGTATTCACTATAGGTTGATTTACTGTGTATTTATTGCGCACAAAAAATGCTGTCGGTTCTTGAATTATTTCTTCCAGTTCTTACCTCAACTGCACGAAAGTTCCATTTGCTGAAAGATATTCTTTAAGCCAGTAGCAACTATTCTTGCTGTTGACATTTCCACGAAGCGCCTTTGGTCGATTTGTCTTGTCTTACAAAATGGCAGGGAAAATTTGATTTGACATGGTCTCAATTTCACGCCCAAAAGGGCTACATGAATTAACAACAGTTATGGCAAATGTTGTGGAAATAGTTAATATTTAAGACACACGGTTAGTCCAATTTTGAGATGGCAATTAAAATAAACCGAGAAACAGCTCACTTTTTTAGGCAGAATATACACATTTTAATGGATGACAATGTAGCTCTCTGGTCGTCTATCGTTATGTTATCAGACAAGTGAGCTGCAGATCTATATCTTATAAACAATAAAAAGTAAAAATTTGCCGGTTTACTCAGAAAAAAATTATTTGACACATGCACATTTCACAGAGGTTGGAAATAAATAATGATGCGTTTATAAAATATCTATGAATTTGAGGAAGATATTTTGCGGATTTCTGGTATTTGACAACATTTGGCAATTGTACAAAATACCGGTTATACGGTATTCATAATTAAGAATCATAATTCAGAAATTTAGTATGTATTCTAAATAAGGACACAACGATTTTTTTTTTTTTTTTTGGGGGGGGGGTACATTTTTCAAATTTTCACATTGAAGAAATATTGAGGATCTATTAAGTCTTTTTAAAGTGAATTTGAGAAATCCATCAACAATTTACTTTTGAGGAGAAGCAAATATATATGTTCATTATTACATAAAGCAGTAAAATGTTAGAATTAAATAGGAAGAAGCTAATTCAGAGAATTTGAATTTGTGTCCCACGCTTACGGAAAAACAGAAGAGCATGCGCAGTTCGGGGGTGGGGGGTGGGTCGGACCCCCCCCCCCTGGATTTGTAGTATCATTAAATGTATACAGGTATATTCAAAGAAATAAAAATGCCAATATGGATATAAAGATTTGATTGCTGATTCTTTAATATGTGTATAGAAGATTCTTTTTATATAGAATATTTATCTAACTGTGAAAATGATTTTATGATTTTGTACAAGCCAGACGTCGTAACTTTTTCATTTCACTTGCTGAATACTATCATTATATAAATCAAAAAAAAAAAAAAAAAAAAAAAGGATCGTACGGGATTTGAACCCGGGACCTCTCGCTTGCTAAGCGAGAGTCATACCTCCTAAACTACGGAAGCACTTGATAGTACAGCAAATTAAATGCAAACATTAGGTCACATATATTGTTTATATTCACGTTCGATATTTTCAAAATTTGACACAATACATGGTGTCCAATTTAACCTTTTCTAAACAGTTCTAATAGATGTAATTAGAATATAAAATCCGCCGACAACCTGTATTATACGTAATAACTCTCGACATGGCCCTGTGCTAAAAATAGTGCCAAGCGACTTTTAATACAATAAATTTAAAAAAAAAGGGGCGAGAAGGGCCATAGGGAGTTATGAAATAAGATTTCATTACAAAAGGTCAAACGCTTCTTGAGATATCGCCTGGAAACGAAAGCTTTACAAGCAGACGGAATGTATGAATTTACGTATACAACCTTGAACTTTGACCTTTTGACTTCAAAATCAATAGGGTTCTTCTTTATGCCATAGGGAGTTGCTATGCAAAATTTCTTTCCGAAAGCTCAAAGAGGTTTCGAGATATCGCGCGGAAAAGAAAGTGTTACAGACAGACAGAAATACAGACGGACGCACGGGCGGACAGGCAGACCCAAATTAATATCCCCCACTTTCAGTGAAAGTGGGGGACAAAAAGACATATGGTCACATAACTAAGTTTAACTCCGCCATAACCTCTGATAATGTACCGGTACCTAAATATCAGTACTTGTATGAAGTTTTAACAATTCATTTAGATTCTTTATTTTTTGTAAAAATATAAAATGTTTGAACATTCTTGTCAACATTTAGGACTCAGGAAAATGGATTGATCCACTCAATCAACTTAGTTTAGCTACCTCATAGTCTGTGATAATGAAGTTGCAAAACATTTTTTTAAATCATATTAAGTACTTGTTTGAAGTCTGAACATTCCTGTAAACATGAACAAGTTATGAAATAAAATGCCAACTCAGTGAACTTGAAATGAAAGATAACAGTGTCTGACGCATCTGTTTCATATTTGGATATTTTACAAGAAAAATACGTTAAAGGTAACCAAACAAAACTTTATGATAAACGTAATGACTTTAACTTTTCTATTGTCAACTTCCCTTATGTATCAATTTACCCCTATTACCTGCAAATGGAGTCTGTCTCCCAGTTGATTCGATATGCAAGAGTATGCTCTACATACGAACAATTTCTAAAAAGAGGCAAACTTTTGACAAACAAGTTGATGAAACAAGAATATCAACAGTCTCGTTAAAATCATTATTTCGCAAGTTTTATGGTCTATACAATGACCTTGTCAGCAAATAAAATCCATCATTAAGTTGAATACTGACTGACTTTTTTTCAAAATAATTGTTTGGCCATTATTTACACATCATGACAAGGAGCACACATCGAGTGTGACCTTTCGACACGGAATGCATACTCATACATGTCAACTGATCCCACTTAAGAAATTTTTAGAGGTCTGTGATTGCTCTGATCCGATTTGTTCCACTGATCGTCAAATTTCTCTTTTTCACCATTTTTATATGATATATATTTTTGTGTTTGGTAAAAATAACTCAAGTGTGATATCGCAGAGTGCACATTTAGAGGTTTTTCAGTGCATCTAGAAGTATAAATATAATATTTCAACCATAAGATTAAGATATTAGCTATTTCAATATTTTTTCCTCCAATACCTAAAATAAATGATTTTTTTGTTATGGACAAATGGAGGTTTTTCTGCTGGAGATAATATTCAAAGTTTTCAAGGAGTGATTGTACAAGATCACATTCCCATAAGATATGTTCAATTGTCTCTTCTTCTTTTTGACAAAAAGTACATTGCTTTGAAACAACCTTCTTAATTTTGAATAAAAAAAGAATTTGTTGCCAATATTTTATTTAAAATTCTGTACTGAAACCACTGGAGTTTACAGTTTTTTGTGACTTGAAATGGTAATTTATGAATTATTTTGCATTCCTTGCTATCCAAATCAAATAATTCAATTCATTTTTTGTAACCAGCTGTTATAGAAGAATTTTTATTGAGAATTTCATAGAAGTTTTTTGATTTTTTGCATTTTGATACAAGATAAAAGTTAGACATAATAAGAGGATTTTCTGATTTTTGTAAATTTTTATCGAAATTGCTCCTCTTTATCCAAGCTTTAACTGCATGGATCAAGCTAGAATATTCTAAAAAAATAATCTTTATATCTGGATAAGTATTGCAAAAGCATTCATAGCTATAAAAAAAAGCCATCTACTCCAATAATGTCATTAATATATCTAATATTATTGTCAAAAAGTTTTTTACTATAGAAGGTTTTACCTCCAATATGGATCATAGGGTTATAAAACAGATCAAAAAAATATATGGAGACAAAGGGTCTCCTTGTCTGCATCCCCTCTGAATATCAATTACATCAGAAAAATTACCACCTTGATTAACAGTAGCTTTAATATCCGTGTAAAAAAGAGTGACCCATTTTCTGATGGAAGGGCCGAAATTGAAAAAATGTAATGCTTTTTGTATGAAGTTCCAGGAAAGAGAGTCAAAAGCTTTCTCAAAATCGATCAGTAATAAAAGTCCTGGAATATCTTCTTCTTCTGTAAAGTGCATTATATCATATATCAATCTTATGTTTTCTCCAATATATCTGTTGGAGATAAAACCAGTTTGGTCAGGGTTGATTATTTTATCTAAATATTTTTTAAATCTGTTTGGAATAGAGCCAGATGCTATTTTATATACAGTATTTAGCAGTGTAATAGGACGCCAGTTTTTAAGAAAATGTCTTGGCTTGTCACCTTTAGGTAATAATGTTATAACTCCATGTCTTTGTGTAATAGACATGATATCATTCCTGTAACCATAGTTAATAGATCTTACGACAAAGGACCCAATATATTTCCAAAACATTTTAAAAAACTCTGTAGAGAAACCATCGGATCCTGGAGATTTATTAGCCTTCATATTATAAAGAGTATTTGAGGCTTCTAACAAGGTTATTTCACCCTCTAAATGGTTTGATTCTTCACAAGAAAGTTTGGGAACATCAGTATGTATCAACTCATTATCTAAATTTAAGTCTGTATTCCCCTCTTTAATTGTATATAAATTTTCATAGAAAGATTTGATTTCTTTCAAAATCTGTGACTGATCATGAATAACCTCACCATTATTTATTTCTAATCTTGATATGATTTTACTTGTAAAATTCCTTGACTCCAGTTTACAAAAATAGTTTGTGGGCTTTTCCCCTTCCTCAATCCATCTTGCTCTACTTCTTATGTAATTACCTTGTAACTCGTGCTTTCTAATTTTTTCTAATTCTTGTTTTTTATTGTATAGTTCTTCTAAGTTACTTTTAGAAATATTTTCTTCCATATTTTTAATGTCATTGATCAAAGAATTTTCCTCATTTTCTCTCTTCTTTTTGACATATGATGAATAAGAGATAGTTTTACCCCTTATTTCTAACAGTAAGGTTTCCAAAAATAATTGATCATTTATTGTGAAGAATATATTTTCATCTGGCACTGTGTGCATGTTGTCATAATTGTAAACTGGAATTGCATATTGTCTTTTAACCTGTAAGATAACATCCTTAATACAGTTCAAGTACTTTTCATCATAAAGTAATGAGTTATTGAATTTCCACAAGCCGCGACCTCTCTTAAAGTCATTAAATACTAACGAGAGAGAAATGATAGAATGATCTGATCTGTAACTTGGCTCCATTGTACATGTATCTATTCCTGATAAAAGTGGCTCTGACAGTAGGAAAAAATCTAACCTACTTTGTTTTAATGGAGACTTTTTCCTCCATGAATATCTACGAAGTGACCCATGAAGTTGTCTAAAAGGATCTACATAGCCATTAATCTCTATTATTTCTAAGAGTTTGCTCCTTGCATTTGGATTATTTACTTTTTTATAGTTATAA